AACTGCGGGTGTTGCGGTGGCAGCCGGCTGGGCCAGTACCCACCAAGGGGAAGGTGAGTCCTGAATTTGACATGGCTGCAGGGTGACACTAACTGGCCAGCAGGAGCAGCAGCAGTCGGGGGGGTGCATGTGGCATTTCCTCCCATGGCCTGCCTAGCAATTCTACAGGGTAGGGTGTAGGGACCGGTCTGTCCGAACCACAGGGGAGACAATATTCCACCGAGACAGACAGTCACGTGGCTGAGAAACAGCCTTCCACCCCTGCTAGCAGTCCACCCTGAGCCACAGCCCTGGGGCTGGGGAGCACAGCCGGACTGAGCCTTTCGCTTCTGCAGCCAGGGGGCAGGACGGGTCACGTCCATTCAGGGGCTGCATCTTGGTGCCCATCGCAAAGCATCTGCAGGGGAGACAATATTCCACCGAGACAGACAGTCACGTGGCTGAGAAACAGCCTTCCACCCCTGCTAGCAGTCCACCCTGAGCCACAGCCCTGGGGCTGGGGAGCACAGCCGGACTGAGCCTTTCGCTTCTGCAGCCAGGGGGCAGGACGGGTCACGTCCATTCAGGGGCTGCATCTTGGTGCCCATCGCAAAGCATCTGGCTAATCCAGCCGCCGTGAGACCCAGGTGATGGGCGAAGGGGGGAGGGGCTGCAGCAGACTGCCATGCACTGGGCGGATGCCAGGAGAGAGGAGTTATGCGCTCTGTGCCCGCTAGCCAACACCTCAGCTCATGGCACTGATGTCGGAGGTGGCCAGCCCTGCCCCAAAGATCACACTCACCCAGCTGCCAGCCATAAATGGTCTGCACGTTGACGCGCCGGTTACCCTCGTCTCCGGCCACCCCTTTCAGCGCCTCCTGCAGGCTGCTCTGGAGCGGCGTGGCCTTCCTGTCGCCTGGCGGCTCGGTGGCGTGCAGGGCCTCAGGCGGGAGGAAGGGCCCCGGGTAGCCTGGGCACTCCAGCCTGGCAGCAGCATTAACATGCAGGAGTTTGAGCCGGTAGTTCTGCCCTCTGGGCGACTGGTCGTCTGGGAGGTAAGAAGGGCAGCAATGAAGGAAGGGGCTTGGGACTTCACTCGGTGCCCCACCCGGCCCGTAAGAACGTGCAGGATAAGTGCCGAACGGCTTCCGACCCACCGACTGCCATGGACACGCTGCACCTTGCAGGGGAACTGCCCCCCGCCTCCAATGGCCAGCTGCAGCGCTGGCAGCCACGCGGGTGAGACAGGCGCGAGGAAGGCTCCTGCACCCGGCCTGGCAGAGGATCTGCAGGTGTGGGAAGGCCCCGGTGCCCGGGTGCGATGCAACAACACTAGCGGGGCATGTTTTGTCCACAGCAAGAGGAGCTCTGTGCTCCGGGGGGAGGGGGGTGTCACTCCAGGAGGGAGTGTGTCTGGGGACTCTCGGGAACAGCTGAGCCAGCACCCCACAAAGGACGTCACCTGCTGTACAGACGCCCCGAGGCAGGCTCAGACGTGGCTGCTGCCCCCCTTCTCCCAAAGGTCACGCCCTTCCCACCACAGCCCCTGCGCTTACAGAGCCTGCCTGCCTGCAGCAGGGTTTTATCCCCAGGGTCCCACGAGCCAATGAACTACGGTAGAGCGAGGCGAGTCCTGGGTGTGACACGGCTGCAGATTCTAGCCTGTCCCCACTCTGCCATGGCGCTGTCAGACCCGTCTGGCCTGCCAGGGTTCAGCGGGGCAGGGGGCAGAGCAGCCAACCGGCCCTTCCGCACTGCACTCAGACTCCAGCTGCCAGGACAAGTCACAGCTCCAAGGCTGGGGGCACCAAACCGCCCCTTGAGGAAGTTCCCCACCTCAGGAAACGCCCTGATCCTTGTGCCCAGCGCTGGGACAATGGGGTGGGAGGCTTAGGTACAGCACATCAGTGGGGCTATCTGGGGCCAGCCCAGGCTGTACAGCAGCCTGGGCTGGCAAAGCCACACGCCTGCTAGAGCAGGGGTGGCCAACCCATTAAATGAAGAGAGCCGAAACAGCAGCGGGAAAAAATGTGAAGAACCACACCAGTATTTATTTTTGAGCAATTTTTGTTGAGGGGGAAAAAAAGGAAGAGCTCCCCACCAGCTCCCAGAATTGTTGAGCAAAAAAAAAAAAACGGATGTTGCCCCTTTAAAAGAAAAGATAAGGCTCTTTTTGGCCACATCAGGCTCCTGTCAGCCGCCACCATCTTGGCGACGCCATTTTGAATCACTGCACCGGACGGCTCCCCTCCCCCCGTGAGCAGCTACAGCAACCAGCGCTTCATTTCCAGGAGCGTCGCACTCACCTCCAGGCCCCTACCCATCGCACCCACAACCCCAGATGCGTGTGGCCAGCCCAGGGCAGAGAGAGCTGGGCGGAGGCAGCAGCACTGTGCTGTGCTTCCCAAAGCGATGGAAGCCCCAGGACTCTTTTCCGGATGGGGCCATAGCAGGCAGCTCCCCATCCGCGGCCCGGACAGACCCCATGGGTTTCCCACCACTCAGTCCATCCTTCCTCTCGCTGCTGAGTCTAGTACAGTGGGGCCACCTGGGGCTGGATTTCTGACATGAGCCTGCTGGTCACGGCCCAGAGGACATTCATCTCCCCCATCGTGGGCCTCGTGGCCCAAGCCTGCACTTGGGCCTGATGGGAACGGAGAATCGAGAGGGCAAAGGCTCTATATACCCACTCCCGCTCCCCTGAGCTGTGCGGTCCCCCCGTCTCTTAAAGGTGCCTCCCCCGGCCTTGGCACCTCTGCATTTACCTAGAAGCGGGTCGTAGAGCTGTGGGGCCAGCACGCTTTGCAGGTAGGGAGCCTTCGCCTGCTGCAGCACGCACAGCGACCACACCAGGTCCATCAGCCCGTGCGGGTCCAGGCTGTCCAGCCGGTTCGCAAGTTTCTCATGGACCTGGAGAAGGAGTCACCGGCTGTCAGAGGGGATTCCTGGGCCGTTCCGTCCTGGCTCTGCCAGGAATTCATGGGTGCCAGGACTGACAGCCCCACAGAGCCCTGGATCAATGCCCACTACAGGAATGGGGCGGCAGGGCAAGCTGCCCGTGGCACTGTCCTGCCCCTGTGCTCTGCTCTAGAGACAGACCCATAAGGCTGAGTGGCCCCATGAGGACTAAGCCGCCTTCCCAGGGCCACCTGCGGAAGTGATCTGCAAGAGGTGGCTCCTCCCAGATAGTCACTTGATCCAGACGTCCCCTCACCAGTTTGTGCCACACTGGCCACTAAGCGGCCACCCCGATCAAAGCAGAGGCCCCACATGCTGGTAAGGGACCGCAGGAGGGAGTGGGGAGCTGGAACAGACCTGAGGACTCCTGGAAAGGTGCCCAGGGAACTAGATTAGCCCCGGGCCAGATTAGCCAGACAGCTGGTATCGGATTAGCCCCGGGCTACATTACCTTCTGCTCAGAATGCTTCTAAACTCATCCATGCCTACGTAGCAAAGGAACTGCAAAGGCTCCAGGACCCCCACCCAGACGTGCACCTCTGGAAGGCTGGCATATCCCCAGTGTGTTCAGCGATTATGTGCCTGCTGCCTGGGGGTTTATTACCTATCCGGGTCACCAGCAGAGGCAGCAATAGAGCCATTTCCCCTCCCAGCCACCTGGGTCAGGATAACAGCCAGGAGAGGGTTACAGCCCACCCGCCTGTCACGGCCTGCAGGCGATTTCCGGGCAGGAGGAGTTCTCTGGAGGTTTTTCCTTGCCTCTCTCAGTCCCCAGACAGATACACCCTTCCTGGAAATCCCCAGCCCAGGCCCATGACAGGCAGGTGGCCCGTAACCCTTCCCCGACAATTTTCACCCTATCACATCATCCACAGCGTGGGCCTCCATGCTTGTCTGGAGACGCTGAGCCTGGCACCCTGCCACGTGCAGCAGGAGGGAGGGAGGGAGCGCTGGGCGCGCCCTGCTTCCTGTCCCCCAGGGCGCAAATCCAAGCACGTCACCGAGGTCACCTACCAAGGGTGACCTGTGGTGCCCCGGGCCTGATGAGGCTGCACATCACGCTCGTGGGCTGGGAGGTGCGTGGGGGACTGCAGGGCTGTAGCGCAGCTGCCTTGCAGAACTCAGAGAGGAGACCCATGAATCTGCAAGCTCAGACGCCTCCAGGGGATGCCGGGTCCACCGCACGAGGGTGTGCGGGGAGGGAAGGGGCGAGACACTTACCGTGCTATAGAAAGTCTCGCCTTGGCTGGGCTGGAAGTTCAGGCGGGCGAAAGACAGGACGATGTTACACAGCTGCGCCACCGTGAATCGGTCGGCGTTGTCCAAAGCGTACTGGACACCAGAGATGGAAAACGAGACCCATAAAGCCAACCTGTTCCAAAGCTAACTCTGACACGTACACAATCCAACCCACGCACAGCGCTGCCCCGGTGACGCCACAGGCTCCCTTGTTAACCCAGCGGTATTAGCGTCCACCACTAGATGCAAGGAGCCCAGAGGTACGGGATGGGCAGACTGCTCGCTCTGTCAGATGCGCAAACTGGCACAGGCAGGTTAGCTGGGGCAGAGCTGGGATTGGTTGCCAGGCAGTCTGGTGCCCCCCAATGATCAGTCTCTGCTTCCCCTCTCAGCATTAGCTGCTGCCACACCAGGCAGCTTCTGCAGTGAGCCAGCTGTGAGGTAAGAACTTAAGAACGGCCAGACTGGGTCAGACCAAAGGTCCATCCAGCCCAGTGTCCTATCTGCCTACAGTGGCCAACACCAGGTGCCCCAGAGGGGGTGAATCGAACAGGTAATGATCAAACAATCTCTCTCCTGCCGTCCATCTCCATCCTCTGACAAACAGAGGCTCGGGACACCATTCCTTACCCATACTGGCTTATAGCCATTAATGGACTTAGCCTCCATGAATCTATCTAGTTCTCTTTTAAACCCTGTTATAGTCCTAACCTTCACAACCTCCTGAGGCAAGGAGTTCCACAGATTGACTATGCGCCGTGTGAAGAAGAACTTCCTTTTATTTGTTTTAAACCTGCTTCCCATTAGTTTCATTTGGTGGCCCCTAGTTCTTATATTATGGGAACAAGTAAATAACTTTTCCTTATTCACTTTCTCCACTCACTCATGATTTTATAGCCCTCTGTCATATCCCCTCTTAGACTCTTCTTTTCCAAGCTGAAAAGTCCTAGTCTCTTTAATCTCTCCTCATATGGGACCGGTTCCAAACCCCTGATCATTTTAGTTGCCCGGCTCTGAACCTTTTCTAATGCCAGTATATCTTTTTTGAGATGAGGAGACCACATCTGTAGGCAGTATTCAAGATGTGGGCGTACCATGGATTTCTATAAGGGCAATAAGATATTCTCCATCCCTTTTTTAATGATTCCTAAAATCAGTGCCCCACACTGTAGCCTCCCGCAGAGAAGAGACATTTCATCCATGTTTACTGGCACTGGTCTTGCACTTAGCCAAGTCAGATTGCTGCCTATATGACCACAGAACAAGGTGCCAGCTGATAAGACCACAGGCTTAGCCCTTCTAGACCTCGTTACCCCATCTTACAGCTGGGGAAACTGAGACAAGGAGGGGCCCAACTATGGCTATTTCCCTTCCCTGCTGGAGCCTCCTCACCTGAGCGAAGGCCTCGAAGAGGGGCAGGTTGAGCCACTTGAGGTAAGCGAAGGACTTGACGCACCGCCCCACGTCCCCATGAGTCATCTGCGGCACGTGGGGCTGCAGGTCTGATGCCATCTTCTGGAAGACCTGGGTCTGGTGGAAATTCAGCTTTCCTTAAAGAGGCAGAAGAAATCAGCAGCTGCTTAGGAGGAGTCAGCCTGGAGCTCCGAGGCACTAGTGGGAGCAGTGCAAAGGGGGAAGAGGGGGAAGGCACGGGGGGGAGGGGGGAAACAAGCAAAAGCATCAAGCCACATTCCTGGAGAGGAAGAGGTGCTGGGTGAGCATTGCTCCCTCCCCATCTCTGCATCAGATCTTAGCCACAGCCATGCGGGGAACCAGGCCAGGACTCTGCTCCAAGCCCACCAGCCTCTCCAGATCACCAGGGAGAAGGGATGAGGACTAATGGTGCTGGCCTGTGCCAGTAAATGTTATTCCCCATCTCTCGAGAGACACGGGCCCCATGCGCAGCGACCTGGGCCCATGCATACCCATCACTGAGCAGCAGAGCACTGCATCCGACGTGCTCACGCTAGAGGCTAGCCCAACTATAGACCCATGAATACATACCAAAGGGGCAGCGTAAGTCCCAAAGATGTACTCACGATGTCCACATTAATGCTGCGCTCGCCCAGCAGGTGAAACTTACAAGGGGAGAGTCAGTCCTAGATACTCGCATGGGGCCCTTGCAGCACTGTTACCCTGATATTGACACACAATCAAATCAAAGTACTAGCGGGAAAAGGTGCAGTCTAGAGACAAGCGCTAGGAACTCCGCAGTTCCTGCCTCAGCTTTTGCTGATTCCCCCTGGGGCACGCCACTAACTTTTAGGCCTCAGTCACACCAACTGCATAATGGAGAGAATATTCTATTTCCCCATTTTGAAGATTCACTCGTCAACACTCTTAAAGTGTCTGCAAGATGAAAATCACTCGAGTGCGAAGCGGTGGCATGTTTGTTTGCCCTCCTAACCCTGCAAACCAACCCACATGCACCACTTCAGAATGCAAAGCGCCGCATGTTTTCCTTCCAGTGGGGTCAAGACACTGCAGCGCTGCACCAAGGGACAGTATGTCACTATATCCAAACCATTTTCTTTAACACACAGATGCTAATCTTGGCTGAGGAATACATTTGCTACAAGCCTGAAGTTAATAATAAGCTGTCTAATCAGAATTCGGTCTTGTATCAGGGTGGTGGATGCTCCAGAAAACAGGAACTAAAGAAGCATCGTCATTGATGAGGCATGTTGAGGAGCAAAAATGCCCCCATTAGATGGGCCAGGAGAGTGCTCCAGAAAAAAGTGGGGAAGAGAAACGCATCCAAGTCCATCATAGTAATATTATCCAAGTCTAGCATAGACATGCATCTGACGAAGTGGGTCTTTGCCCACGAAAGCTTATGCTCCTACACTTCAGTTAGTCTATAAGGTGCCACAGGACTCCTCGTCGCTTTTGCAGATTCAGACTAACACGGCTACCCCTCTGATAGTAATATTGTATCACTGAATCCTGACGAGTTAAAGGGTTTGGAAAAGAATTTGAGTTGAGTTATAGCCAGGGTAACAAATCTGTGGCACCTAATTACTGAACAGTCCTACTCCAGGTTGTACTTAAGCTACATTTGTTATCTCTGCACAACCACAGTAGCTACAGGACAGACGGCAGAATTCGGTGCTGGCTCATGCCAACAGAACCGCTACACTTTCGCATCCCTGCTCTGAGCCCAACAGGCTTGTGTCGGACTAAAGTATCTTCCAGAACAACCTCCAGGCTAGATCTGAAGGTAACAAGAGGTAGAGAATCACCAATTCCCTTGTCCCTGGATAAAGCAGTATCGCTTTACACACTTTCCTGAACTAATATCCTGATGGCGAGAGATCAAATGTTAGGTGCAAAGGGGCGATGTCACATCTCCAACTGGGCAATCCAGTTCTGTACCAATTCCACACCCACAGTGTCTGCTGCAGAGCTGGGATTAGAATTTGGGAATTCTGCCTCCCCTTTGAGCACCCAGAAAAGGTCTCTTTCAAACAGCAGCACTAAGTGGATTTCTTTGAAAGCTAAAAGTCTGGTTTGGATGGGGATGTTTAATGCACTACTGCAGGGCTACTCAACTTCGGAAGCCCCGAGGCCACAATGATACTCACAGCACATGCCGAAGGCTGCAACTTAAGTGTGGTTGCAAATATATGCAAGTAGATGCAAATAGCTTCTTTCGCACTGAAGGGCATGAATACAAAGCACTTCCCACAATGCCCCTGTGCTCCCTGGGGGCTAGAAACGCCAACATCTTGTACCTGATCTGTTCCAGCCAGCCCATCTGCTTGCGTCTTTCATTGCTCACCCTGCCCGGGAGACTCCTCACCGTTGTGGAGCGTGTTCCCTGTGGAGGCCATGTTCAAAGAATCCCAGCCGCGGGCCATGTGTTGATCCCCACATAAACCCAAATGACCCCATGGGCTGCAAACAAATGGGCTGCGGGCCACGTGTTGAGTAGCCCTGTGCTGCTGGAAGGTGATCTGATGAGGGGGGATGCGCACAAGAGGGAACTAAATACAGCTTGAACCTCTCTAGTTTGGCACTCTGGTCCAGCAACATCCATGGTCTGGCATGATTTGAGTGAGCCAGATGTCCACGTCTCATGGGCGTGGCCAAGTTTCCAGTGGTCCCATAAAGAGAGCGCTAAGAAACCCACTATTTACAGCCACCTGTCCTGGCTCTCAGTGTTCTGTGCTGTTCTTTGGCTCTAATTTACCCCTAAATGTCTTCTAAGGGCCCAGGAAGCAGTGGAAGTGCTGGTCATGTTGCTAGACAACAGTGACTTCCTATGGCTCCATAGTTAATTCCCCAAAGCAGGGTGGAGAGCTCTCAACCGGCAGGGTTAAAGGTCTTTGTACTTGAATATCTGAGCTTGGAACTCAAGGTCTTCCTCAGCCAGGACTGCATCGTCCCGGGAGTGATGCGCTAAAGCCCTTGCTCAACACAAAGACTGTGCTGCACTAGACTGTGCCGGCGGGATACTTGACTGGGTCATTCAGGGGGCGGCTGGACTCACTCACCATATGCAAAGGCCAAGTCCACCAGAACGCTAGTGCTGAGGGCAAAGTGCTTCTGAACCAGATGGTAAGAAATGGCCCGGAGCAGGGGAACAGAACGCCGGTTCTGGACTGCTAAAGCCAACGCCACTTTCCGAATGTCCTCAATGCTGAAATGCTCGGCCAATTCCAAAGCCTGCCAACAGACACGAAGCACAGAGAGCAAAGGCGGGTTAAAGCAATTCACATGATTAATCTCTTACACATCCAGCCCTTTCAAAGTAGCCTACCAAACACACCCCCTCCAAGATCACCCAGCACTGAAATGCAGCCACCTCTGGAGCAGAACACAGGAGATCACAGAAATAAACAGCACGCGACACACTGTGAGAACCATTATAGCAAGCACGACAAGTTAAAGGAGGCAGAATGTAATTACTTCTGATGGAATTTGGTCAGGGTATCAGTGCTCCACTGATTACTATTGCAAAAAAGCACTCTGGGATCTATTACAATCACACATGGCCAGTATGGGCTCAGCACGGGTATGTCTACACTACAAAGTTCATTCGAACTAACAGACGTTAGTTCGAATTAACTTTGCTAGGCGCTACACATGCAAACCGCTAGTTCGAACTTAATTCAAACTAGCAGAGCGCTTAATTCGAACTAGGTAAACCTCATTCTACGAGGACTAAGCCTAGTTCGAATTAAGCAGTTCGAATTAAGGGCTGTGTGGCCACTAAATTCGAACTAGTGGGAGGCTAGCCCTCCCCAGCTTTCCCTGGTGGCCACTCTGGGCACCACCAGGGAAACTCGTCTGCCCCCCCCTCCCGGTCCCGGA